TGTGTTGGAGAATTCTGAAATGTACATACTAGAAGACCTACAACCATACTTCCCCGAAGGGGGAGGATGGGATTTGGAACAGGCTGGCCTCCGTGGGGGCTATTAAGATGCTGATATCTGACTTGGCTTTCGTTCTTGATGTGATGCGATTTGATGTGATATGGAGCGAGTGTCTGTGCGTGAGGGTAGCCACAAGTATTTCTTGCGGCGGTGACGTGAAAGCTTGACACACCACGGCCACGACAGAAAAGCTGATACTGGACATGACTGCCATACCGTTGACCGCGAAAGGGAAGGTTGGTCCCTCAAGCATGTGGAAGTACGGTGTTCGTCTGTCAACTCTGTTATAAATACAAGCCAGCACGCCGCCTCGTTCCGTCTCGTTCACCATGATATAGGGTGGTTAGGGTCCCAGATGCCTCTACTGTCTTGTAGCAGCGGATAATGGTGTCAAACTCTCATGATCTGCCTGCCCTGTCGCTAAAGATGTCTTAGGTTCGTTCCCAGGCAGTCTGGAAGAAACACCAATCGAGTAAACCGTATTACATACATCGCAGACTGAAGAGGAAAGCAGAGATGACGGCGAGCGTTTGGGTGTTCATGGTTGCGGTTGAGTATTTTGATGGGGCACACAACCTGAAGCAACTGGACTGGGGTGAGGACTTCATAGACTGGAGACAATTGCTGAGTTCGAATGCCTTGGCTTTCGTGGAGACCAATTCGTTGCAGAATCCATTTTGGGTAGTCCAAGCAGTCTTTTATAGACTTGAGCAACGCGCTTCCCTTGGGGAACTTGGCCTCAATAAAAAGCAGGAGGCGATGTCAAAGACTAAACCAGCGATGGTCTTGTGGTCGAAGCTTGATGTCAATAACAAGGAAGTCAGGACATGTTCTGACCTCAAAGCTACGAAGTTGTTACCTTTTCGGACATGAACGGAGTGGATCGATGCTCGCCGGATACGCAGGAGATAGAGATGGTAGAGAGCGGCGGCTGAGATGATGGAAAGTCAATTTTTACGATTATCACCCTTGACTTGTTATCTTTCTAAGAAATGAATAGACCGCCAGATCAGATAGCAAGCTTGGATTCCAAGTGGTCCACGCGCGTCCGAATTGCTTACGCTGATCTGGGAAGAGCTTGGCTACACTTATATTCTTTGACTCCAACCGTAGTAGATAAACATGGACACGGTCGAAGAGTGCTGCCATCATCCATGGACTGTCCATTCGCCTTGGATATTTAGACAATCCTTGAGTTTGTACATTATCTTGACTTTTTGCATTGTCCCAGCAGAATGGGAGCAAAGTCCAATGTACTCGATTGGATTCCTGATCATATTAGGCGAGGTGCAATTTCACATGACGCTTCCAGTATTTTGGTATTGACGACATTCAACCGCAGTGGAAGTGTATCTGCAAACACGGTTGAATAATCTTTGCTCATAAGCAGTCAACAGCGGAGACGATAGACGGAGACGAGCCCGTAGATCTTGAGGCGACTTTCAGGACGATTGCGGGTGGCGTTGGTGTGCTGGACGGCTGTACGCGGTTGCGAGAGCTTTTCTGAGGGTTTGAGAACTCCCGAGGTTGCCAAGGGTTTCGTTTGTCTGGGAGTCTCTCACTCTTTTATATGGGCCGTTTTGGTCTAGCATTAGGGTTGACGTGTGTGCGGTGGGCGTTTCCTGTCTCGATGATTTTGTCCACTTTCTATGCATTGAGACTGCAACTCTTAGACCATGTCGCATTCTATATTACATTTCGCAAATATTAATATTGCGAAAGCAGGCCGGAAAGAACTTTTTCTTCAAAGTGGAGGGGGATGTCATCGCCTCTCTTATTCCCGAGTAAGACAATATACGAAAGGAGATGCTGTTAATATCAGAAAATGCCCGTACACACGCAAATGTGAGATCATTCTCAGATCATGCTGAAACTCACTTCTCAGCGCGAATACTTAGAAGACGACAGAGGGCTGAGACGAAGGCCGTAGTTGAGGCATTGTGTCCATGTTCTTTCGAGTTACGGTGTCGTGTTGCTGGCCACGCGTTCTGTATCCCCGAAGCTTACTCTCTTGCAACTCGGAAATCGACGAGGGTAGTATTATTTGACGAGTTCAGAAACCCACTGTAACGCGTACAAATATAACTACCAGCTGCTTCAGAAGATATTCAGTCTGGCGGCAACAGCCGAATGATGACTGCCAGTCTGTTGTATACAAACTGTACATTCCCGAAACAACAAACAGCAGGGTACATGTTCATGGGTTTCAACCGTAGATAATGCAGCTATGGCAAGTATCTGTACCTGGTATACACCGGCGAGAACAACGATCATGGTCGACATCGTCCTGTCGCGAGATCGCACGAACTTCTTCTTCTTCCAGCTATCTCAAGCTGAGTACCGGTTGCGAAGAAGATGCTGCTTAGCAACATCCCTTGAACATAGAGAATCATTGTTTCTGATGCCCCTCTTCTAGCCGAGGGGAAACGTTCTTATACTTGGAGAACACAATCACAAAATCGATTGTCAACCCTGAAATTGACAGATCTTGAGCACTTTAGAGATCACCTTGAAGAAAAGCGACCTCATTCGACTGCCAAATGGTATATGTGTGCTCCTTCTGTCCATCGTTTTCGCAGGCAGACGTTATCATCATGGAGCGCAGCAACATTACCAAGGAACCATGTTGATATTTTCGGCAGTTATGAGTCATGATTTACATTAACATGGTGAATAAAGAAGAAAATAAACCAAATACTTGCAGGAAAGGCTAGAAGAATGGTGGACGTCGAAGACCAGTTGACGGTTTGACTTGATTCAATGCCTCAATACTACGAACACGTTCCACCAGTCTCAAACATGGGCAAGAGAAATTGCAGCTCATCACAGCCCCGGAGCTCCTTTTCAAATATTGGACAGAGTTTCTAGGGTTCTGAGACCCACGACACAGCAAATTTCGACTCATGTTACATGGAAGAGACTGTCACTGGTAGGCCGACCTTGCAAAGATCCTTCGCTCCCCTGCCTACATGCAGGACCATCTTGTCCTCGTGTCCGCCAACCTTGATCTCTCCTGAACTCTCAATTCAAACCCGCCTTGTGAAAGTAGGGCCCTCGAAGTACGTCTGACTTACCGTGCAGCTGCGGGAATGGTGTACAGAGCGTTGAGTGCACCGGTTTATCGACTGTATCAACACCAACCAGTATATATTAATCGCATTTGCCGTTGTCGTTATATCAGAACTCTCCAATGGTCTGGGGACGGTGCGTTCGAACTTCATTAATATTCCTGACGTGAATAGTCGGTTCTACCACCTGCAGTCTGAAGACTCCAGAGTTCATCCGGACTGTATGCCATCGCGCCGAATACACGTAGATAATACTGCCAAGAAAACGACGAAGAAGCGCCACGGAAGTGAGCAAGTTAAACTTCGGGAATTATGTGCTAGTGCCAGAGAGTGTGTTTCGCCGATACATGATAGCACCGGGCACCCAGTAACACGGCATTTGTCGGGAGCGGCACCGTTCTGGATACTGCAACCACATGCTTTCCTGGCGAATATCTGGATGAAGAAGCGCAGCTGCTAACGCATCTTGAAGTCTAATTCCTCTAGAGCTGTGAGTGCCTCAAGGAAGGTCAGGGTTGTACCTACTGGAACCGCGAATTGGATGACGCTGTGGCTCCTGCTACGCAGAGCTCTCGACTTGACATTGCGCCAAATGCCGACCAACCCACACGATCGAGCTCCTTCATCGTCTGCCAGATATAAATACGCCGGGTCCTGTGGTCAATTGGTTCTCGATGAGGCAAAATCAGCTGCATAGAACCATTGATTTGGCATGTGCCATAAGGTCATGCTTCGGGACCATACGTGGCATGTTTCGGCCTTGTTGACCGTGAACGTATCATTTCTTGGTCGATTTGCACGCTGTCGCTTAAGGATATGGAAGAGGAAAGAATACACCCGAAGGAGCAGAGACCCCCCTACCAGAGATGAAGAGGATACGCCAAGTGGTCTGCCAGATCAGCAGCAGCTCCCTCAACACCGTCGTACGGAGCTTCGGGCTGCCCATCACGCAAAGAAGATTCCGACTGCCACCCGACTTATCGCGTTGCCGTATGTATTGAACCCAAGGACGCTCCTTATTTATCCTTGAAGCCTCGTTCAGCGCGAAGCCCCCAGCGTCAATGCTGAGGAGCCGCCAGACAGTTTCGCGCAAAGTGCCCGAGCAGCAAGTCGATCCCCAGCGCTGAGGCAACATCACACGTGGCAATGGCTCTATCCTGAGAATGACTTGGCTCAGTGTGTCACAATGATCCGGAATCAAGGGCCAACGAGTAGTTACGAGACGCACGCGGCAGCAACTCAATATGATTACACTGAGGACAGGCTGGATCCTCCATCGACTAGGGGAAAATCACGATCAAATCTAGCCCATAGACCATCGTTGCTCACGTTCGTAGCTTCGTCTCCCTTTCCCACCAAATACAAGAGCAATACCAATTTTCGCATGCAACTCGAGACCCGCGGATACTTTTTAGGGGGTGGGCATACACAAACAAAACAAGAGATCAGGCGCGAGAAAAAACAGCAGACCAACAGAAGAAGCATTGAAAGCCGAAAACGCCCAGCCAAATGCCATTGGGATAGCGTGAGGGGAAAGAAAAGGAGAAAAAATGACAAAAAAGGCTATTGCCCACATCCACACCATCTCTTCCCATCGCCCGAATCGATCGACTCAAACGCCTTCGATTAATCGGTGAACTGAGCCCGCGTGGGTAGGAAATCGGTGAGTGACGGCGAGCGGGGTATCTAGCTGACGAGGCCCTTCTTGTTCTGTGTTACGGGCACAACGTCGCGGTCAGCGGCCAGTTCTTCTTTACCCATTACAATTTCTTTTCCTCCTTGTCCCAATCACTTGCCGCAAGCGCGGTGTCGCATGCCACCAAGACCATCCATACACTCGAGGAATCATTCCAACAAAAGCCTGAATCCTGTCTAAGGTATGCGGACGAGTGAGCGACGTACCAGGTAATCCCAAAGCTGCTTGGTCATCGAATCCGACATGGTGTACAAGTCAATCGAAAACTCGCCCGCTAAGATCGACGTCAGTCCAAGGGTCTCGCGTCACACTATGTAAAAAGGCCGAATCCGCCGCACGTCCAATCCCCAACGCAAGGAAAACTGACCAGCCATGAGATTCGTAGTAGGGGAAGCAGGCATAAGCTCACCATCAACATCGCTCTTGATGTATGTGTCCGCGGTCTTGTTGTCGTTAATAATCTGGATGACGCGGAGCAAGTCGTCCTCCTCAAGCTTCTCGAGAGCCTGTGCGATCTTCTCGTAGTCGTACTTCTGGCTGCCCTTCTTGCCAGCGCCGCCCTTCTTCTTCAGGCGATCGTCATCCGACGGGAGAGGGCCCGTCTCGCGCAGGATCTGCTGAAGCGCCTGAGATGGGTTCTTGAAGGAGACGGTGTGTACGGCCTCGTAGCGGTTCTTGGCGAAGTTCAGGTCGTGCTGGATGGACTGCTTGGACTTCTCCGTGATGTAACAATCGATCGTCATGTCGAATTCACCCCATCCTTCGTTCTCGCACTTGAAAGGGGCCTTGTTGAAGGCTGGAAGAAGGAAAGGTCAGCGACATTATTGCAATGTAGGGAAGGCGCAAACGCGTCGGGTTGCCACGTACTCTGTGTTGGGTTCTCGAACGAAGGGTGGAGGTTGTAGACGACCTTCTGGAAGCAGTCGGCCGGGTGGTCCTCGCCGTCCTCGCCGATGACGTATAGAACGATATTCCATTTTCGCATGGGGAAATCCTCGACCGGAGAGGGCTTGTCGCTGTAGGGCAAACTCGAGGTTAGCTTTCCAACTCGTACCCGGAAGGAGCTGCTCGGGCGCGACTTACATGACGTTTTGCTCGGTGACGAGCTTGACTTTTCGCTGTGTCATCGAGTTAGTCGTGATGATCAGGCTTTCGGCGGCCTTGGAAGGCGCCTTCTTCCTGCCATTAAGCTTCTTCTGGGCCATGGCAGCGGTTGTGATGCTGCCCAGATGGAGGCAGAGTTTGTGGCGACAGAAGAGAAGGAATTGGCGATGGAGGAGTATAGGATCAACTACGGGACTATTATAGTAGAGGAAGGAAGGACTAGGAGGAGGAACATCTTGGGGTGGCAGGGAGCGCAAGCTGTCGAGTGCCGCGCAGTGAATAGGGATTGATCATGATGCCGTTGGGCCTACTCACGACAGGACGCGCCGACAGGGCAAAGCTAGAAGAACAGCTATTCTTACCTCTACAATCATTATGGGCAACTGGCGAAGTGCTAATCGTACTTGTAGCTGTATGTGGTGTTTGAGCGGGGTTTGAACGTGCGGCGGGAGGCAGAGTTGGGTGTGTGAAGTTCACCAGATTGGGATTTGGAGGTTTGGGAACTGGAAGGCTGAGAGCCGACGCTCGGGCCACACATGCACCCCCCAGGGTGTGTGGCTGGAATCCTCACCGCGCAACGTGAACCATGACCGTGAACCGTGTTGCGGGGAAGCAAGGACTTTAATTGAATGCTCATACAACATCCTTTTTGAATGCCATCAAAGACAAAGCAGCTGTAGCACAGATAGTTTCTATGTTGCACAATGCCATCCACTTCAGAACACCAGCTAGTCGCTTTGCCCAAGTGCTCAGATCATCACAACACACACAAGCACAGCTCTCTCAAAAGGGGGGTGAAGGGGGTATGATTTTGCCTGTCTATTTACTGCCAGCGCATCTAATCAAATGGGGAGGGACTTGATTCTTTGTTGATTTGTGCTGTGTAGTGTCTTCTTCCTAAGCCTTGATGCTATTCTTCCACCGCTCGACTGCTTGAAAACAAACACCACTCGGTGCAGGTTTTGTTGCACTCTCCAACTATTCATGATCCTGCCTGCCTCTTATCGCGTGGGGTGTGTAAAAACAATGGTGCTAGGATCGTGATTCTTTTTGTGGCGGGCAGTTCGCTCCCTTGGGCTCATGGCCCAAACAGATCGACTCTCCATCCTCGTCTTCATGCAGGCATCATGGGGATATCAGTGAGTCTTTTTAAGACTCCTCGACGGCAGGGGCAGGGGCATCAGAGCCCTCAGCAGCCTTGTTGAAAAGCTCCTCGTTGTCCTTCTGGGCCTTGAGGAAGGCATCCTTGAAAAGGTTGGCGTCTTTTTGTGGTCAGCACCCCGTATCAAAACCTGTTGGAAAGTTATAGACATACTCTCAGAGTTGGCAAAGCGAATGGCCAGGGTGACGGCCTCGGCCTCACCCTCGCTGACATCGGCGGCGGCGTTCCAGACCCAGCTGCGGTCAGAGCCGACGTTGGGGGAAAGCTTCATCTCAGGGACGACTGCTAAGCGTCAGCGGCTGCGATCGAAGGAAAAGGTAGTTGATGAAACGCACTGTAGTGGTTGGCGCAGACCTTGAGAGTCTTGTCACGGCGCATGACGAGACGGGTCTTGCCGTTCTCCTTGTGCTTCAACAGACGAACGTCACCAGTACCACGCTCCTTCCACTCAGTCGTCTCCTTGACGAACTTGAACAACTTGGCGCGCATCTTGAAGAGCTGCTCCTCAGCCTCCTCGTTGGTGGCAGTCTCGACCTTCTCGGTCAGCTTGATGACGGGCTCGAAGTGGACATCCTCGGACTCAGGAGCCTCCTCCTCCTACGAAGAAAGGTCAGTATAGGGTTGTTACGAGCAGTGGGGTTCAAGTGTACCTCGCCCTTCCCAGCAGCGGCGGCATCGCGCTGAGCCTTGGCGCTGCCGGAGTTGTCGCCGCGGTCCTCATCCTCCTTCTTCTCCTTCTTGGCGCCACCTCCAAACATGGAAAAGACGGAAGAGGAGGTAACGGGCTTCTCAGCCTCACCAGTGGTCTGCGACGCGAACCGAGTGTTAGCCATCCGAGGTATTCAAGTGTTATCGCAGGTCGACGGCGAACGACTGGAAGCAAGCGCATCGCATGTTGGGGTAATGGGGGCGGTGAGCTTTAGCTCTTGTAGCAGAGACGAGCAATCATCGGCGCGCATGCGACAAAGGGGCGTCGTACCTCGGTGGGCTTGGTCTCCTCGGTCTTGGTCTCCTCGACCTTGGGCTCGGTAGCTTCGGCGGCAGACATTCTGGCGGTTCGTGGAGTAAGAATGTGCGGGCGAGGTGACGATGTTTGGGTCTGTAGACGGGGTGGAAACATTAGCATATGAAAACTTCACCTGCGCCGGTCTGCCCCTCCTTGACTCAGAGCGGGAGCATCGCAGGCTCGTCATCAAGCCCAACGGATACAAACTGCAGGGGATCAGGGCTAAGGGCATCAAACTTACCAGGGCTAGTAGCGGTATGTTCTGCAGCAAGCAAAGCAGTAAAGGGGGGAAGCAAAGAGATGAATTTGTTTCTTCAGTGGTATGGTGAAGTTGGGTGGGTTGGACAAAATGAGGAAAGACAGCCCCTCATTCAAAAGTCAACAACAAGAGGGGTGTCGGGCGGGCCTGCCCTTGCTGTTTAGGTGCCCAGGCGCTTGTCATCCTGCTGCTTCAAGGTACCCCACCACCAAAATCATCGCGGGGTGTACTTCCCGGTGCTGACCTACCTAGTGGGGTCCTACCTGAGCCAAAGCCCAAAGCTGCTACTGCGCGTCCAATCAGCAAGCCCGCTTTCTTCGCCACCGGGGACTCCTTGAAATCGACGAGAGAATGTCGACGCTATCTCGACCGTCGGCCGGGCCTGTCCGCACTATTGAATGGAATAATCTGCCTGTTCATTACTACAGGTTCTGCCTGCCAGTGTGCTTGTTGATTTATTTTTCTTGTTCCAGCCACGGATAAACAGATATCATGATACTTGTGCTGCCATTCTGCGACCAACCAAGCGGAAACCGATTTCTGTGAGAGCTTTTCAACTGATCGACACATGGGACAAAGTTGAGACGACAGGAAACTTCACAATATCCACTCCTCTTTTGTCATTCCGAAACGATTTCAACTGTTCCATTCCGCAGAAGCCTGCTAGTAAACTCACACTACTCTACCGACCTCACTCCTCTCATGAATCCCAGCAACCGCCTGCCTACCTACCCTGCGCTTCAGACACATTGACGATGGATATTTGGAGGTAAGAGCGGAAAGTGATGATAAACATTTCAGGCCGAATAAAGCAAAGATAATCCAGGCCCTGAGGTAATAACATGCCAATAACTCCGGTTCAGTCCGTTCCGTCCCGTGTCCTGTCCTTAGCCGGCGTTCCTAGGTATCCCATGTTCATGCTCATAACCATCAATTAGATCTGCTGTTTGCATTGCTGCGTCCAACGGGAGAAGCCTGATTGGCATCTAGCCTCGAGACGCTCCCTCTTCCGACGCGCTCGCATTTCCAACTTCTCTCTTTCCAAGCGCTCTTTGCTGGCCGTCTCAGCTGCAGCCTTCTTGTCAGACATGTATTTCTTGGCTTTGGCGAGATAGGTGTTGTGCTTGTCCGTCTGGTGAGTAATCTTGAGCCAAAGGAGCCATGACTGGATTTGGGCATGTTTGTGCTTGATGTCCACCCAGTCCAGGGTGTCCTGCGCTTGACGAGACTCCCGAACTTGCTGCCAGCTCTCAGTCAAGTATGCAGGGTTCCATGAGGTCTTGAGGTAGTTTGCAGTCTTTGAGGCATCCTCGCCAATTCGGGCGGACACTTCTCTAAGGTCTTCCACAACCGAGTTCTTCAGGGATGCCAGCGTGGCAGCCTGCTCTGCGCCGCGCTGAGCAGCGCTGTAAATGCCGGCGGCGACGGACTTTCCGAAGCCAAGACACTCCTCGAATGCTGACTTGCCAAAGTCAACGAAAAAGGTCTCGTTGACCTTGGGCTTCCGTGTGGTATTGACGGCGACGGTCAATACGCCATATGCTTCCTTCCTTGGGATCTCAATGATGATGCCCTCATCGGTGGATGAGAACTTGGTCTTAACGGATCTTTCGCCCTTGAGAACATCGATGCTGATGGAATCCTTGGCAAGCCATGAAGTTTTGGTACCCGAGGGGATCTTGACCAGAATCTCGTTGCGGCTGTGCTTGTCGGCTGAACAGACATAGTTCTTTGGAGACTCGGGGAACTTGTCAGCGAAGAAGTCGGCAAGCTCAGCAAATGGTGCGATAGCCGTGCTCCCCTGCGAAGTCTTTGCCTGCGGAACTCTGATCGTTGTTGTTGAGGTGAGGTTGATAGTAATGGTGGAGGTGGATACGGACACTGGAGTAGGAGACACGATAGGGGTAGGGACAGCAGAAGTCGAAACTGCCGGTACGGTTGCGGACGAGCCGGACAAGTGCCAGTTTCCAAGGAGCAGGGCCGTGATGAGGATGACAGAAAGGCCGGAATACTGCGCAACTGACCAGAGGTCGAGGTCTTCTGACTTTGAGACCACATACTGGCGAGCGCGGCGGAGCTGCTTCAGTGACTGCGCGTAGAGCTCGGAGCATGCTCCTGTCTGACGCTCATCCACGGTCTTGTAGAGGCCAGTCAGATAGGCAAGGTTGCGGTTCATCTGACGAGCATCAATCTCTTTGAAAGACTTGAGGTCAATTGGCAGCCGGACAGGGGTAATATCTCGGTCAGAGAATTCCACACATCGATGAGGGCCGTGTTGGTTGATCTTGTCGCTCCAGTCCTCGGTGGGCTGCTCCTCAAAAAGCTCTGTGCTCGAAATGAACACATGAGGAATTGCATGTCGCTGCACAAATCCCCAAGTTACCGCGCGAGCCTGGCGAACAGCCTCATCGTCGTTCTCAGTGACAAAGAAGACGGCCAGATGGGGAACGGTCCAGTGCGGTGTGATGACGGCACCGCCAGAGGCAAACTCTGAATGGAATGTCCGGTTGTTGTCGACAGTGATTGAGTAAACTTGCTCTCCCTGATAGACCGTTTCCATGGCGGCCGTGCAGGTCTTCACCTGTAGGTCCTTGGAGGAAGGACCACATGTATTGCTGGAAACACCATCCTCTTGCGGCGAGGGAGAAGCCGCTAAGGCCGAGGTGAACTTGTCAGTGATGTCGTTTTTAGCCGAAGGGTCGCCCTGGTACAAGATCCGAAGAGGGCCCTTGTTAAGCAGATATGACTGAGCCATGACCTGAATCACAGAAACTGAGCAAAGAGGGTTCGGCTCTTGGAAGTAGTGTGTGACATGGTTGTGGGTGATGTTCTCTGTGTTGGGGGCGCTGGAAGTACTCTGACGCTCCAGGGGAGGCGTAGGCACTCGAGAAGACGGGTTCATGAGGCTCTGCTCCGCGTACTGAATCGAGGAAGCCCTTGATCGATCCTCGGCAGCATCGTCCTCATTGTCCGAATCCATGTCAGAGCGACTGGCAGTGTCATCGGTACGCTCGATACCGTCGAGACTATGGACATCATCAGGTCGAGCGTAGTCGAAGGAGCTCAGAGACTCAGCCTCAGTCTCAACCTCGGTTCCTCTATCATCCTGGCTCTCAAGATCGTCGTCTGTATTGATGAACTCGAAGGAAGACTCGGCCAAGTGGTCGTCGTCGGTTGCGTCGGAGGGGTTCATGATGTCGGGCTCGCTAGAAGAGATCCAGCTAGCTAGGTGGCGGTTGCCTTGTGGGCGGGGGAAGCGCAGAGTCAACTCGGAGGAGGACAGCGTCGTAGAGCTTGCAGGATCGGATGTGGTGTCGACGTCTCGGAGGGGATCGCCGGCGTGCTGCTCTTCCATAACGAAGATGCAAAGAGTCAGTTTTACTGGTATCCCGTCATGCCTCGAAAAGTCGAGCGGGCGTTCGTAGTAGTGAGATCTGGAAGTCGGCGAGGATGCGCGGTGGGAGTTGTGTGGTTGGGGTGGTGGTGGAGGATGGAGGGGTAAATGCGGGAGAGATGTGGATGGTGTCAAGTGACGGACGGGCTGACGCAGCACGAATGTCGGGGGCGTTTCTAGACGAAAAGGACGTCTGGAAAGCTGAAAACTTTGACGAGCGTCGTTGAGTATGTGTAGAGAAGGAGAAGAAGAGAAATTAACTAACTCTGGGGTGGCTTTGGAGAAATGAAGTTGTCCTAGGTTTAATGTGTGAATGAGTTGTCGTCAATCAAGGTAGGTGGTGCCTGCCTTACCAAGAATCTGAGGGGCGGTGCGGGTTGCCTGCCTTACGGTACCTAGTTAGTCCAGCCAGCCAGGTAGACCATCAGGTCGCTTTAGGTAGGTAGGCGGGGTGGGGATTTTGGGAGGAAGGGATAGGGATGGGATGAGATGTGAGAGCGGTCGGTTTATCGGAGCGCAGGTGTCGGTGACTTCCAAACGTCACGCGGATGCCGCTATCTGGACGTAGGAGCATAGATAAGAAGTGAGGTATTCGATACTAACCAGGGCAGGGGTTGGCGCCGTCAAAGCGTCCTGGGCCGGGCTGGGCTGCTTGTCTTGCGGTGAAAAGTGGTCGCAAGAACCTACTAATTCTCAGGAAGGAGAGGATGCGTTGTGGAAGGAAGAAGAGAGGCAAAAGCAGACGGAGAAGCTGACAATGTATGTATGAACAGAAGGTGCAGTGGTCGGCGCCTGCAAAGGTGGATGTGGATATGGATGGGTAGGTAAGGTAGGTGGCAGATGCGCAATTACTGGAAGGGACGGGAAGGTGTGGAGAGAAATAGGCATGGAGAGACATGTAGGCGCACCATCAAAGATTAGGGAAAGGCAACCAGTAGGGCGGCGCGATCAGGCAAAAGGGAAGGAAAGGCAGGCACCGCAGGCTATTGCGGAATACCCGGGCAGGTGCTACCACAAGAAGGAAATGGAACTGTCTGTCTTCCTTTTCTTTGCTTGCCGTGGTCGCTTCTTTTCATCTGGAGATAGATGGATGTAACTGCACACTTGACACTCGAGATAATGCACCGACCAGCATCGCTGACTTGCGCCTACCTTTTGGTACCCCCTACTGCCT